ATAGCGCTTATTTGTGACGCTGAATCAATAAGGATGCGAACTTGATGTGCTATACCATACTGATCACGTATGTGACCTAAAGCCGTTCCTAATAATACTTCATGTGTGTTAATTATTGATGACACTGTAGATAAAGCTACAGGCATGTCTTCCCTTTCAGTCTCTTTACTGAAATGCAATAAAGTGTGATGTTTCTGACCACATTGAGCACACCGGTCAGTACTTAGACAACGATCAGTCCAATGATTAATGCCCAGACAATTAAAACACAATTTCTTTTTCCGAACAATAGTCTGACGGTCCTTTAAAGACATGGATGGAAGCCGAGAACAAGAAGAACTAATATGCGATCCAGAGCAGACAGAACATACTGATTTATGCACTTCGTTGGATTTAGCAGCTACAAACGACACACGCCCAACATATTCTTTCTTTGGCTTAGAAAATTGTTTACGCTGGTCAACTTTAGCTCCTACGATATCGTATCGCCCACCTGCATTTTCTAGTACACGTATTCTTTCTCGTATGAACATAAACAGACTCTCTACATCAGGGAAGTTTTCAATATTGGTTGCCTCAAAAAGTTTTCTACTACTAAGAGGTAGACACCTCACAGCTAATGTGAATAAAATAAATTCACCAACATCAGGAATAGACAATGATCTTAATAAAGAAATATTGTCTTCAAACAATTCAACATAATCATTCAACGATGAAACATTCTCTTGAGCCAACGGAGATGCACTTATTAATTTCTCCACCAATAAATTAGCTAATTGACGTGGCTTATTATATTTTGCCTCAAGTGCATTCCAAGCTAGTTTGTAGCAGTCCGGTGACATGTGAAAGCTCTTAATAACATTTAACGCTTCACCACTAACACAACCACATAAATAATAATATTTTTCATCATTGGACAAACTAGTATTGTTGTATATTTGGGTAAGAAATCGGCCACTAAAGGAAGGCCAATCGATGAACTTACCCGAAAACATGGGAAGTGGAATTTTTGGAAGTTTGTTATTCTTGAAAGATTGGCCAGGGAATAAAGTCACCATTGAATCACCATCATCAGTGTTTCCATTAGTAGCATTACCATTACTCTCATTAAACTTCGCCATTAAAGCGGATATCTCACTCACCATATCAAATACTTCACTTTCCAATTCAGTTGGAAAATTACTACTCTCATTTAAAATAACTAGAGCATCTAATACTAAATCATTTTGTGCTTGAAAGGCCTTCCACAAATCATCAACACCATGAGCCATAGCCACAAATTTGGTCACCAAGTTAGGCTGTGATACCGCATTAACAACTACCTNACCGCACTAACTCCTACCTCCAAGATTGACCTTATGCCTTTAATAGCCACAGTTCGCTTTAGGGTAGCTCTATCCCTAGCTTGCAAATTAGGGTCAGCCATAATAATAAATTTAATTTAATAATGCCCAAATTAAAACAGACTAAAATATTTATAATTAAAAAAATTTTAAATTGCTCAAAAGAATGAGAGAAAAATCAAATCCAGGAGACCATAAATAATTACAAAAAAACAATTTATTGTATCATAGTTTTCAAACCCAGAATAAATAAAATAAAAATACCTTATATTAATCATCAATATTGTTCCTCGGTCCACTCGACCAGTAACGCCGCCCGCAGTCAACCACACGCTCTGCTACCAAAATGAAAGGGGCACTGGGCTCACAAGGCCTTAACTGGTAAAANTGAAAGGGCTACTGGGCTCACAAGGCCTTAACTGGTAAAAGAACAGAAACAATTTTTCCTATAATGACAGATGAATATTAATAAAAAAATATATTATAACATTAAACTATACATAATCTTAACAGTTAATAAACATTTAACAACATTTATATTTAATTTCTCAAGGAATATATTAAATGACTTAAATCTCAATTCACCAAAATTATAAATGTATATAAATATAGATATAGATATAATATATTATTATAACTTGCCAATAGAAAAGAACAAGTTATTTACATCAATAAATACTTATACATAAGTGGCTGAGGAACACATTTATGGTTTGACTTCTTTTATTTAATTTAGCAATTTTTACTTGAGATGATGTTGCTGTGAGGCACACACATTCCGACATAAATGAGCAACCACAATTGGCCGAGAACAAAATCCACACAACGGGATTATTCAGAAGAACATATTTCTTCTAGACACATGTATCTGAGTAGCCCACAATTGGCTTAGACCAAAAATTCCACATAAAAGGATTTATTCAGAAGAACCTTTTTCTTCTAGACACATGTAGATTCATAACCATAAAAAAAAAGGTATCAGTCTTTTATCACAAAAGGACAACATGAAAAATGTGATAGCCTTCCACAGTGTCGCCCTATTCTGCGGCGCGAACAGTAGTTAAATGCTATAGTTTTTGCGCGAATGACAATCTAAGATTACCAGGAGGGGAATTTACTGCTGTCATCAGTGATCTGTGCGCACGAAATAACGCGTATCATTATTACAACTATTAATAAATCTGTTACTGTAGATTCTGATGGTCGATAACCAAACTGACTATTATTTAAAATTAAAGAAAATATATTGAGATGAAAATTTAGTTTTCATTAACTTGTCTAATAATTTTAGGTGGAATACATATTTTGTATATAGGACGGTAATAACGCACGTTGGATTTCTGGGACGACTTAATGATATGATAAACATAAATACAATTCCATTTCGTAGGAAACACACCAGTTAATAGATGGAAGGAAAAAAAAATTCCATACATTTTTTTCCTATTTTATTTGAAATTTAAAAAAAAATTATAAATTATTGTTTCAGCTCGTTATTAAAATTTTAACGTTAACCTTTAGCATTGTCTGATTTATGTGTTAACATACGTGTTTTCTAAAGCATACTATATTTTAAAATTTTTGTCATCAGGAGAAATAATAGTATTGATAGATATTTTTCTTTTGAATAATGTATTTTTAACATATGACAGCAAAGTATAAATACAAATTTTTGGTTTTAATTTTATAATACAGTAAAAATAAATTTTAATCAGTGAAACCAAAAATTTACTATCATCAAACAACAGTTATTGTGTTTTTATCATTAGTGGGGACTGTTCTCTGGTACAAGCCTGTTATTACACCTATCCCGTCCATCATTGGTCTAATCAAGAACCATCTTTGACTGTCTAGAATGTGAAAAGAGGGCTACCACCCTCTGTAATTAGTAAAGTTCAGGAAATAGAAGAATTTATAAATGATTATTACTAATTAAATTTATAAATTTAAAAACTGACGAGACATAATAACTATACTAATGCTACATGAATTTATCTCATAATTTTACATAAAATATTCATTGTTTGCTAAAATTTGAGGAATTTTTCTTAAATACTGTGCTGTAGAGCTAATATTTATGTCTATTTTAATTTGTCAAAATTTTCACCATTTTTAGTGGCACTTTTTCTTAGATTTAATTATAATATTTCCCAACTTCCAAAAGCAAAAAATGATTTTTATTAATTACATTTTTAAAAAATAAAATATTTAATTTATAGATTATACTTATATATTTTATGGATATTAAATTGTATGCTATTTTCTTGTATAAGAAATCTATTATATGATATAAAACTTTTAATGTTAGCCACTCAATTTCTTTGAAATTAAAATTATTTTTGGCATATTTTAGTCTCATATATTTTTTAAATTATCAGTTCTTACTTACTTTTAATGAATTCATCCTTTATACTTTATAATGGGGTCAACTTTTAACTCAGTATTTTAGAAATGATTACAATTCTAAAATATACACTGATGTAAATTTCTGGGTATTACAATATTAATCATTAAATATTTTCCAACCGCACCTTTCCTCCCTTTAATGTACTAAAATATTAATATCTCTTAAAGTACTAGTCCAGAAGTCGTTGCCAAACGGTCATTTTCTTCACTAGATCATTTTTTATTTTATAAGCTTATTAAATATGTATGTTGCTACTTAAAAATATAAAGTTGATACCCTTTAATTTATAAAGGATGAATATAAGTATATGTTAAAATCAGAAAATAGTGATACCAGAATCCTAAACTGTTAATATAATATTCATATAATATATATTATTCATATAGCAATATGTTCATGATCTTTTCATATCTGAAAATGATCCAGAAAGCTCAATATACTATAATGAACACATAAATTATTCAATATGAGAATAGATTAACATCATCAATAACTTAATGTAACCAATTTGATTAGGGAGAAATTAATGTTATCATATATTGTAATATCTTTTATTAAAAGTAATATCTTTATAATGAATGTAACATCTTTTAATTTAACACATTTTTATGATTATATAATAAAATGATCATTAATCAATATACATAATAATTTTTAGGTTATATACAGTGTTTCCATTTACAGTAGACAGAATATATCATATATTTAATGTTTTGGGTATTTTTAAGAGTTAAATCTCTTTAAAAATGTACTCGGTTACCATCACCATCCCCTAAAAAAATATATAAAAAATTAGTAAACACATACAACATTTGCCTTTGTTATTGTAAAATCATGAACTTATATAGTTCGTTATTCATATAGGAAATGATTCTCAATAAGTTAAGTAAATTTCTATTACAAAATATTTAAATATATACTTGTTAAATTATTATTTACTAATATAAACTTTTTTATAATATAATTAGATAAAAACTAGGTTCGTGATTGTTCATTAAATTTCTAATAACCGATTTGGATTGAATTCGTAAATTTATTGTTTAACTAATAAATTCACTAGTTTTACATTAAATTTATTAAAGCAGCAATAGACATAATTATAGATCTCAAGTCATAGATTAATTTTTGTAAGATAAAAAAAATAAAAATAATATTTTATATTAAACTGCCACTCTCATAATTAGATATTATTTAGTAATTTAAATAAAATTAAAAAAATCAAAGATTAATTCATTATTGTAATTGTTTAGGGATTGTAAAAAAATATTCGGATGACAAAAAAATTTGTCCATTTAAAAAAGGCACGACGAGTAACGCTGCTTCAATTGGTGACATAGAAACATTAAAATTAGCTTACGAGAGTGGATGTCAATGGGATAAAAATACAACAGAGAAAGCTGCTGCAAATGGGCATTTAAAATGTTTAAAATACGTCTATGAAAATGGAGGTAAATGGGATAAAAAAACTACAAAGGCTGCTGCTGCTAATGGACACTTAAAATGTTTAAAATATGCTCATGAAAATGGCTGTAAATGGGATAAAAAAACCACAAAGGCTGCTGCTGCTAATGGACATTTAAAATGTTTACAATACGCACATGAAAACGGATGCAAATGGGACAATGGTACGACTAAAAATGCTGCAGAAGGCGGACATTTAGACTGTTTAATATATGCTCATGAAAAAGGATGCAAATGGGATGAAGAAACGACTGAAGTTTCTGCAAAAGGCGGTCATTTAAATTGCTTAATATATGCTTATAAAAACGGATGTCCGTGGAATGTATCGACAGCAAAAGCAGCAGCAAATTATGGTAATTTAAAAAACTTAAAATACGTTCATGAAAACGGATGTAGATGGAATTCAAAGACTACAATGGCTGCTGCTTTAAATGGGCATTTGAATTGCTTAAAATATGCTCATGAAAATGGTTGCGCGTGGGATTATCTAACGACTAGAGCTGCTGCGGAAGGCGGTCATTTAGACTGCTTATTATATGCTCATGAAAATGGATGCCCATGGAATGTATGGACAGCAGAAGCAGCTGCAAAGTATGGTAATTTAGAAAACTTAAAGTACGTTCATGAAAACGGATGTGAATGGGATCGGAAAACCACAAAGGCCGCTGCCGAATATGGGCATTTGGAATGCTTAAAATATGCTCATAAACATGGCTGTAAATGGGACAAAACTACAACAGCTGCTGCGGCTCAAAAAGGCAATTTGGAATGTTTAAAATACGCTTACGAAAACAAGTGTCCCTGGGATAAAGAAACTACTATCGCTGCTACTTTAGGAGGTAATTTAGATTGTTTAAAGTATGCACGTGAAAATGGATGTGAATGGCATAATGAAGTAACGCAAGTAGCTGCTTCTAAAGGTTATTTAAATATTTTAAAATATGCTCATGAAAATGAATACGATTGGGCTGAAGGTACAATGGTTTCAGCTGCCAAGAATGGTAATTTAGAATGCTTAATACCACCTTGATCAAAAAGTTCCCGGAATAACCATCGTTTGGCGCTCCCATTGTTCCGATTTGAGTTCTGTTTTTTTCATTAAGTTGGTACATCTGTTGTTAATATTTCCTCTAAATTTTAGCGCCATAGCTTGACATTTGCAAAAGTTACGTAGCCAAGAGTACATCTATCTCTTTGTGTGTTGGCGATTTTTTACAATTTTAGAAATGGATTTAAATTTGCAACAACGAACTTGTATTAAATTTTGTATAAAAAACGGATTTAATGGTGCGCGAACGTTGGAAATGTTGGAAAAGTGTTTTGGCAAAGATTCTCTAAAGAAAACGGTCGTTTATCAGTGGCACGAGCGGTTTAAAAGTGGTCGTGAATCAGTCATAGATGATGAACGCAGCGGCAGACCATCGGCATCGAAAACCGACGAAAACACTGAAAAAGTAAAAGAAATGTTGGTCAATAACCGCAAATTAACCATCAGAGAAATAGCGGAGGACTTGAGCATTGCCTATGGATCCGTCCAAGACATTTTGGTTAATGATTTGAGTTTCCGTCGTGTAGCAGCAAAGTTGGTGCCAAAAGACCTCAATTTCATGCAAAAAAGAGACCGTGTTGACGTCGCAAAATACATGATTTGCGAGGCTGAATCCGATACCACATTCATCAAAAGGATCATTACTGGAGACGAGGCGTGGGTTTATGAGTATGACACACAATCAAGACATCAGGCAAGTGAATGGCGTTCACCAAATGAGCCGAGACCAAAAAAACCACGTCGTTTTCAGTCAAAAAAGAAGGCTATGCTTACGGTTTTCATGGATTACAACGGTGTAGTACATCATGAATTTTTGCCAAAAGACCAGACAGTAAACAAAGAATATTATTTGGGCGTTATGAGACGTTTGCGTGAAGCAAATTGCCGAAAGAGACCAGAATTGTGGGCAGAAAACTCGTGGATTTTGCATCATGATAACGCACCGTCACATAGTGCCATCATTATTCGTAATTTTTTGACGAAAAATGCAACAAATACTATCCAACAGCCACCGAATTCACCTGATTTGGCTCCCTGTGACTTCTTTCTATTCAATCGAGTTAAAAAACCATTACGGGGAACGCGATTCAGCAGCCGAGAGGAAGTAATGGAAAAATCGCAGGAAGCACTGATGGACATACCAAAAACCGAGTATAAAAAATGTTTCGAGGATTGGATCAAGCGCTGGCATATGTGTGTTGCAGTCGATGGGGATTACTTTGAAGGGGACAATATAGATTTAGATGAATAAACTTGTATTTTTAATTTTCTGAATAAATTCCGGGAACTTTTTGATCAAGGTGGTATATGCTCACCGAAAGGGATGCCCGTGGGATGAAAAGACAACTAGTGCTGCTGCTTTTAATGGTAATCTAGAAATATTAAAATACATTCATGAAAACAATTGCGAATGGGATGTAGAAACATTATTAATAGCAGCTACCAATGGAAATTTAAATTGCTTAAAATATGCTTATGAACATGGATGCCACTATTGGGTCGAAGGTACGACGAGAGGGGCTGCTTCAAATGGACATTTAGACTGTCTGAAATATGCCTATAAAAACGGATGCGAATGGGATGAAGGAACGACTGAAGAGGCTGCAAGTGGCGGCCATTTGGAGTGCTTAATTTACGCTCATGAAAACAAATGCAAATGGGACAAGGGTACACTTGGTGTTGCTGCAGTAAATGGACATTTGGACTGCTTAAAATATGCTCATGAAAATGGATGCCCGTGGGATTACGAAACTACTAGACAAGCTTTAGTTTTTGGGAATTTAGACTGCTTAAAATATGCTCATGAAAATGGATGCCCGTGGGTTTACGAAACGACTAGACATGCTGTAGTTTTTGGGAATTTAGATTGCTTAAAATATATTCACGAAAACGGATGCGAATGGGTTTATCAAACGACTAAAATTGCTGCGCAAGGCGGTTATTTAGACTGCTTAATATACGCTCATGAAAACGGATGTCCATGGGATGTAGACACGACAACAGTTGCGGCAAGGTATGGTCATTTTGAATGCTTAAAATATGCTCATGAAAACGGATCTAAATGGGACGAAGCAATAACAGAATTAGCCGTTTCTAAAGGTGATTTAAAAATGTTAAAATATTGCTATGAAAATGGACGTCCAATGAATGCAGACATATATAGGATTGCTGTTTTTATTGGTAATGTACAAATATTAAAATATGCTCACGAAAACGGTTATAAATGGGATAAAAAAACAACAAGGATATTTGCTGCACACGGACATTTACAATGTTTAAAATACGCTCATGAAAAAGGTTACAAATGGGACGAAGGAACAATAGTTGCGGCAGCCGCGCATGGTAAACTACATTGCCTAAAATTTGCCCGTCAAAATGGATACGATTGGGTCGAAGGTACGACGAGAGGGGCTGCTTCGAATGGACATTTAGACTGTCTAAAATATGCCCATTACAATGGTTGTGGTTGGGATGAAGGGACAACAAGGGAAGCCGCCGCGAGCAGTTCCATTGACTGTTTAAAATTTGCTCATGAAAACGATTGTGAATGGGATGAAGGTACAATAGTTACAGCTGCTGCACGAGGTAATTTAGATTGCTTAAAATATGCTCACGAAAACGGGTGCGAGTGGGATGAAGGTACAACAAGACTGGCCGCTGCAAATGGTCAATTTCTTTGTTTGAAATATGCACACGAAAATAATTGTCCATGGAGTAGATATACCGCTAATGAAGCTTTATTTAACGGTCATGTTGATATCTTTCATTATGTTGTCATAAACGGTTGTCGCGATTAGTTTTTAATTGTAATTATTATTTTTTTCTTCTACTCATTTGTTTTGGTTATTTACATTATATTTTAAATAAATTAACTTATTAAAATTGTATAATTTTATTGATAGCATTTCTGAAATTTCATTTGCTTACAAGTCAAATATGTCGTCTAAAAGAGAATGCCCGAAGTTTTACACACACTAACATAATGTTTTCAACTGATTTTTATTGTATGGGATATTTTCATAAGATTTGACAATGGGCTTACGAATCTTTAATAATTTATATTTAATTAACAACACGTGCGTGTAAATTCAACAGGTGTATTAAAAATATCTTACTGACGTATGGTTTTTGTTAGATCATTTTTTAGGGTGATATAAATATTTTTTCTATGCAGTATTTAATCTCGTTACATATAATATGTTACTTTGAATAATATATGAAAATAAAAGCTACTTCAATGTTTTGTTAGTCGATAAATGTAATGTTCACTTTTTATGTTATTGTACATTTTTCATTGTAAACTAAAAACTTTTTTTGTAAATTTGAAAATGAATTAATAAAAATTTGTCATCTCAACCAAACATTACCTGATTTTCATCTTTAACTTGATTTAGGTTACAATATGTCAGACGTTTTGGAACATTTTAAATAATCTTCAAAAATATGTTCCTTTATATCTGGTTGTAAGTTAAAATTTGTAGAAATTTTTAAATTAATAAAAAAATATCTAACCTGTTAATTTTGACGGTTGCTTGATGTCGAGATATTTTTTTAAATATTAATACTTTGGATTTTTTTTTCTAACTTTGGGCATCGACAGATCCTACTAGAAAATCCATCTTCTCCACGCGGGCCCGCATTACATCACCTATACTGGACTCAACTATACCACGTCACCACTGTGCTGGTTGTTTTTGTCTATTATTAATTTTTCTCAGCACATTTTTTATGAAAATTAACTTTTTTTACTTAACTTTTGAAATTGTTCCGGAAGTACTGTGTCGTTTAAACATATATCAAATTAAAGCTTATGTCATATACTATAAAATGAAAAAAAAAATTGTCCCGTCGACTTATCTTCTTTAAGCGTTCAAAACTTGAAACATACTTATAAAAAGTAGAACTTTTTCAACCTAACTTTTGAAAATCTTCCGGAAATACTGCGTTCTTTAAACATATTTCAAATTAAAGCTTACAATAAATACTAAAATTTCAAAAAAAAAAAAATTAGACCCGGCACCTTTTCTTCTATAGGAAAATGGCCGTCGAATTGAACGAAAAATGTTATTTTATATGTAAAAATCGCTGTTTAACATGAAATATTTTAATACTTAAAACTGCCATAACTTTTTGAAAAATGAACAAATTAAAAAAACTTTTTATATTGAAATCTTAGATATTTTCTTTTCATTTGTTATAATTTTTTTGAAAATCTGACTAAACTTGCCAGCAAAAGGAATTCAAAAAATCAATTTTTGCACACAAGTTAATCTTTTTCAATGTAATTTTTGAAAATATTGACACTTTTATTTAATATTAAATTTTAATAAAAGATCATTACTTACATAATATAAGCTTTTAATAAAAGCTTATATTATATACTTTACTACGATAATATTTTTAATAGATTAAAAAAAAATAGTAAGTAACTAATGGTGAAGAAAATAGGGTAAAGTTTCAAAATTTGACTTGGATATTACTTGTATTGTAACATGTTGGGCCATGTACTGATCTCTGATGAAAATATAATTTAGACTGACGGTCGTTATAATTAATATTTAGTCACGAAATTAACATGTACAGTAGACTTGGTAACCCGAAGGTATTTTAACTTGGAAAATCCGTCTAAGTTGGTTATTCATAGGCTCAGATCTTTGACTACTTAGCACTCCAAGCAGAATTCACCAGTCTTATAAAATTTTGTAAAGAAAAATAAAACAATTTCTTAATTTTTTTAATTTGAGCACCCTTAGTTCAAAATATTATTTGTGTTTATGAGAGTGTTGTATAGACTTTCCTGGCACTCAATTAATTGACTGTTTGTTACGTGTGATAAACACTTTAGACGCAAGAAATTCTAAAACGGTTATCATTGAAAACTAACATAATTTAGTCGAAGAAAAACATTCGACTTCTTATTGAGACAGTTATCAACAACAGACGAATTGAAAAAATCATAAAATCCAAATTTTATAAATTTTTTTAATCAGAATTTTGACAGTTGTAAATAATATTGGAGGTTTAATTGATAAATAGTGATAAACTATAATAAATAACAGTTATTCAATTAGATTATTTTAAATTTAAATTTTTTCCGGAAAATTTTTTTTTATTTATCAAAATTTTTAGTGTAAAATTTCTTTTTGCTTAATGATTAGATGTATTTTAAATGATATTAAAAATGAAAAAATAAAATTTTAAGTAGTATTTTATTTGTAATTATATAAATCATACATAATTACTATGCTTCTATCTTTTTTTCAATTAGTATGCATTCACTTTTTGTTGAAATAATCATAAATATGACGATAGAGTAACGCTTGTATATGTTTGATCTTATAAAATACTATGTTTCTATTATTTTCTCGATGGGAAAATGCTGCCGGGTAACCGTCGTATTTCTCTATGTATAAATAAATTGTCTTTTCTTATTTTTATACGCAGTCACCAATTTACGCGCTAAAAAAATAAATGGTCGTGAAACTAACGAATTGCCCGTTGGCCAAGACTATCGGCGTGGCTCTGTTGGATGCAAAAGGCTCGATGGCGTCAATGGCAATGGTCAACTTGTACAAATCACAACACGTGGCAGATTTGGCTGTGCTAAGTGACCAATTAACGATCGATCGAGCTAATAACAATAAAAGTACCCGTGTGACTTGTCGATTCCGAAAGTTTACCAGCGACGTGTTCGTGCGAGACGTGCTGAAAGTAAGCGGCGGGATCGGTGGGCATGAGATTCGTTCGAATGATGTTTTAAAAACACCCATTTCGGTTTAGACCGCAGAGTAAAAAAATGTACTGAATTTTTTAACAGAGTAAAACTCTTTAAATATTACAACTGAAAATAAACGCTGTGCGTTGTGTGTTTTAGCAACAGACATTGTTACTGTTTTAAATAATTACATTGTGTTTCGTTATTTAGAATGCGGACGTCGTGGTGTTTTGCCCGGACAACGCGTGTCGGTCGACATCAGACAACAAACGCTCTGCTTTCGAGCGGAACGCCGGGCGAGTGGAAAAACTGGCGAGAGACATAGTAATGTTCAAGCCCGAAGTTTGGACCGTTGTAGCCACGCAACCCGTCAATTCTATGGTGTCGCTGGTGTCCGAAGTTTACCGGCGCGCCGGCACATACGACCCAAGAACCGTTTTCGGACTAATGACCACCGTCGAACTCAGAGCAAACACGTTGGTAGCGCGTGAGTTGGGCTGTGACCCCAAGTCTGTCGACGTGACTATCGTAGGCGGACACAGTGCCGAAACGTGCGTGCCTATTTTGTCTGGCAAATTGCCGGCATCGGACTACTCACCGGTAATATTTTATGGTTCACAGGCCGAGGTCACATCTAGAAATTTTGCGCTCCCCGGATATTACATTGTAAACAACGTTTCCCTTGCGCTTCCCTTATTGTATGTCCTCGATATTATCAATTAAAAACAGACAGTGTACAATTTTCACGTTACAGGCTGATGTTCGAAACGTGCTGAATAGAATTCGATCAGATGACGATTTTCAGAGTGACGTTCCAGATTTTGACGAAGGCATCCGACGCTTTGTAAAAAATATCGAGTAAAACGAATATACAAAGATTGCCACCATGACAAATAATAGGGTTATTTAAAGTAGAGTAAGGTAGTGAATTTTTTAAACTCTTTAAGTAAAATTAGTTTTAAAGTTTTTAAAGTACAGTTGAACCCATAGTGGATTATAATTATACAGATTTTCAAAAAGTAATATTGTTTGGAAAAATTAACCTGTCGTCGGAAAATTCTTATTTTTAATTATAATTACGTTTATAGAACTGTATTTTAGTATAGATATCAAACTTCCAGGTACATAATCAAAAATAAAAAATAAGGCAATTTTTTTACTTTGACGGCCGATTTTACATAGTGGTACTATCTTTGATACAATTTTTATTTTTTAATAATGTAGTTTTTTTTAAAAGCTTAAATTTGATATAGCTTAATAGTTTTTAGGCATATACAGTTATTAAAATCTTTCCTTTACTTGGGTTTTTATTAAATTTTTATAAAAAACATACAAAAAAAAGACGAATAAAAAAATATTATATTACTATAACATATTGCCTATGGTATATTGTTTTTGTATATGATAAATCTATCTTGTTTTTTTCAAATTGACAAATTAAAATATTAATATCTTTGACGGTTCTTAATTTCAAGATATTTTTTAAATATTTAAATTTGTGTTAATTTTTTCAAAATTATGGCAACGATTGGTTCAACTAAATTAAAATAAATTCTTTTGTCGAATAGATCAACAAAATTGATCTAGTGAGGCAGAGATTTTTTATGGACAGACATAAAAATAAACTATATATAATACAATAGAAATAAATTCAACAGAAAAAATTATATTGCTGAGAAAAGAGAATTATGTTCAGTAATTGATATTTAAAAATATAATATTATCTTACGTTTTGGTATAAATGGTTTGGATTAACTGAATAATGCAATAATGAAATACACATATATTCACAATTACAGTTAAAGAGATAATATATACATTAGAGTGGTTCTTAGTTATAGATTATGAAAAAATTTCTTTTAGAAATTCTTTGGTCTCACCCCCCAAATTTGTTTATATACATGAAAAAACGAACCAAAAAAATTTCACGTCAATCAGACAAGTTTAACCCGTGCCTACTCGGGGTTGAAAATTGAACAATAGGGGTAGTTTTCTAGTGTTTTGTACTTTCGGAAATGATCGATCATAGAAAAAAAATTATAGAATATAAATTGTTGACAATTTTATGGACAATAAGTTTAATTCTTACACATTTTTTTTAACTCATTACTTTTCGAGCAAAATTTTAAATTATACTATATTTTATCGATTTACCGAAATTGGAATATTTACGAACACTACATTATATTTAACAAACATTTAGAGATACGAATACATCTTTTATACAAAAATCGTTTATTATTGAATTATTAATAAATTCAGCACAAAAACTGTGGTGTAGGCTAAGCATTCCCCCCCCCCAAAAAAAATTAAAAATACACAGTTGAAAAAAAATTGCTGATGTTACAAATATATAATTTATGCTAATTATTTTTTTCAGTTTCAAAATTTTTTACATCATAATAAAGTTGATTTTTTGGTGTCGGGATATTTATTTTTATAATCCTTGACAATTTGTAATAAATATTGTTTTTGATTTTCATCATTGGTTAAAATTCTGTGGTACTCTGTTATAAGCTGTAGAGTGAAAAAAAAAATATTGAATAATTCGATACATCAATCAGTTGTAACAACATTTATGTATACTGGGGTGACTGATTATAATATATACAAAAATAAATCACAAAAAATTATAAAATAAATTGTAATATACTGTATAACACATGGGCTGAAAAGTCCCGGGCCTAACAAAGAAAACACGGGTTTTTCATTAAAAATTGACTTTATTCTTCAACATAATCTCCATCAAGAGCAACACAATCATTTCAGTGCTGCTCTAACATTTGAATACCGTCTTGTAGAATGATTTATCTTTTGCCTCAAAATAGGCCTCAGTTTCACAGATAACCTCTTCGAGCGAAATTTCTTGCCGGTAGGATGTTTTTTAAATCTGCAAATAGCCAGTACTCGCAGGGAGCTAAATCAAGAGAATATGATGGATGAGGGAACAATTCGATTTTTAATTCACGTAGTTTTGCCATTGTGTTTTTTTTATTTGTGACACGGTGCATTGTCTTGATAAAAAAATTTTTTTTTTTTGCCATATGCGGTCGTTTATTTGTAATTTCGTGCTTTAAACGCTCCAATAACGCTGTATAATATTGACTGTTAATGGTATTTCCCTTCTCAAGGTAGTCGATGAATATTATACCTTACTTATCCCATAATACTGAGGCCATTACCTTACCAGCTGACTGTTGTGCTTTTGGGCGCTTTGGACGAGGTTCATCGGCTGCTGTCCACTCAAATGACGATCGTTTTGATTTTGGAGTGAAGAGATGGATCCATGTTTCGTCTATTGTGATGTATCGACGCAAAAATTTCGGTTTATTATGTTTGAACTTGACTAAACACTGTTTAGAATTTTAGTATTTTGTCAACATTGTCAACAATTTATATTCTATAATTTTTTTTCTATGATCGCTCATTTCCGAAAGTACAAAACACTAGAAAACTACCCCTATTGTTCAATTTTCAACCCCGAGTAGGCACGGGTTAAACTTGTCTGATTGACGTGAAATTTTTTTGGTTCGTTTTTTCATGTATATAAACAAATTTGGGGGGTGAGACCAAGGAATTTCCTAAGTCGAAAAATAAGGACCACACTAATATACATTCACGATAAACATCAAATAATACGTCGAGCCAGTCATCTTCGTGACACCTATATCGCTTGTCCGTCCGTTCGTCAATCCAACCGAACCGCCACCACAGTTTCGATCATTTATACAGCTATCTACAAAATCATCTCAGTGTGACTGTTCAATAATTAGTATTATTGTTACTTTTGATTTTTCTTTCATTAAACGGCTTTACGCCACCTATAGAACGAACCATTGCTGTTTTGATTTCTTTCTTCTTTTTATTACGACGTTAGTCGCCACAAAGTATAGATGATATCTGACAGTAATTAAAATCACTATCATAAGAAACGCTTCGATGCAAATCTATAGATAGTGTTTAATTTTAAGAAATTAAAAAGAAAAGAAAAAAAATTGAAATAAGTTTAACTTTATATTCTATCTCAATTAGATTTATATAATATTGATGAAAATCAGTTTACCCCCTTTTTAAGGTATTTTAAAATAAATTAAAATACAATAACAACACAAGAATAGCATGTTTTTTAATTACAGGAAGTATTTGCACATAGAAAATAATTCGTCGGGACTAATTTTTTTTTTAACTTCTAATACATAACATTAGCTCTATTTTAACATATGTTTGAAGCTCAGAGTAATTCCGGAACATTTTCAAAACACTAGTTCAAAAAGTTAAATTTATGTCCAGAAGTTACTATTTCGAACCCCCCCCCTGTGAGCAAGTAAAGGGTCAGATTTAAAAAAAAATTATATCAAATGAAAGGAAAATATCTAAGGTTTCAATATAAATAATAATTATTTTGATTTGTTCATTTTTCAATAAGTTAAGGTAATTTTAAAGAAAAAGAAAAATTAATAAATGTCGAAATTTACCGATTCTAAATATCGCAATTTTTTGGGGGACTTTCACTATTTACGGGGAACAAGGGCAAAATTTTCAATTTTTGAGGGTAATATCTTCAATTCGATACGATTTGTGATCTTTTGACGTATCGTTGTAAGAAATTGATTCAATGAGAGCTGAGAAAAAGTGGTAACAGGTACAAAAAGAAAAAAAATAAATAATTAAAAAACACATCATAGTAAAATTAATGCCATCTCAGTTTCGCATCGAACGTAAAAAAAGTTCAATCAAAAAAAGTATATATTGTACAATGTATATATTAATTATTGGTTCCTGTTAATTTATTTTAAATAATATAATTGACATAAATGAATATGATAAAAGTTACAAATATTTCATTAGAATATTAATTAGGACATCCATTTTTAGTAACATATCTAATTATTTTAATGTAACCTTTTCGTATAGCTTCAGAAAAGGTACCGCTACTCCATGGACAATTATTTTCGTGTGCATATTTTAAGCAATATAATTCACCATATGAAGCAGCAAGTCTTGTTGTGCCTTCGTCCCACTCACAACCATTTTCATGAGCATATTTTAAGCAGTCTAAATGACCATTTGCGGCAGCTCCACTTTTAGTTCCTTCATCCCATTTACATCCATTTTCATGTGCAAATATTAAACATTTAATATAACTACTCGCAGCAGCTTCCCTTGTTGTACCTTCCTCCCAGGGACACCCATTTTCATGCGCAAATTTTAGGCAATTTAAATGTCCATTTGCTGCTGCCCCTCTTATCATACCTTCAACCCAATCACATCCATGTTTACGGGCATATTTTAAGCAATCTAACTTACCATGCACAGCTGCTACAACTATTGTATCTTTATCCCAATTACATTCCTTATCATGAGCATATACCAAACACTCTAAACAACCACTTGCGGCAGCAGCTCGAGTAGTGCCTTCATCCCAAACACATCCATTTTCGTATGCATACTTTAAACAGTTGAAACAACCACTTGTTGCAGCAGCTCGAGTTGTACCTTCATCCCATTTGCAACCATTTTGATGAGCATATTTTAAAAATTCCATATTACCTTTTGCAGCAGCTTCACGCAGAGTTCCTTCACACCACAAACATCCATTTTCGTAAACATATTTTATTACGTCTAGATTACCCTTTATAATTGCACTTCTCATGATATTTTGATTCCATTTACAGCCATTTTCAAAAGCATATTTCAAGCATTCGAAATGATCATTAGAAGCAGCTGCTTCTGTTGTGCTTTCATCCCATGAACATTCATTTTCATGTGCATATTTTAACATTTTTAAATCACCTCTTTTGGCAGCCGCAGTTGTTGTACGACTATCCCATTTACAGCCATTTTCAAAAGCATATTTCAAGCATTCGAAATGATCATTAGAAGCAGCTGCTTCTGTTGTGCTTTCATCCCATGAACATTCATTTTCATGTGCATATTTTAACATTTTTAAATCACCTCTTTTGGCAGCCGCAGTTGTTGTACGACTATCCCATTTACAGCCATTTTCAAAAGCATATTTCAAGCATTCGAAATGATCATTAGAAGCAGCTGCTTCTGTTGTGCTTTCATCCCATGAACATTCATTTTCATGTGCATATTTTAACATTTTTAAATCACCTCTTTTGGCAGCCGCAGTTGTTGTACGACTATCCCATTTACAGCCATTTTCAAAAGCATATTTCAAGCATTCGAAATGACCATTAGAAGCAGCTGCTTCTGTTGTGCTTTCATCCCATGAACATTCATTTTCATGTGCATATTTTAACATTTTTAAATCACCTCTTTTGGCAGCCGCAGTTGTTGTACGACTATCCCATTTACAGCCATTTTCAAAAGCATATTTCAAGCATTCGAAATGACCATTAGAAGCAGCTGCTTCTGATGTGCTTTCATCCCATGAACATTCATTTTCATGTGCATATTTTAACATTTTTAAATCACCTCTTTTGGCAGCCGCAGTTGTTGTACGACTATCCCATTTACAGCCATTTTCAAAAGCATATTTCAAGCATTCGAAATGATCATTAGAAGCAGCTGCTTCTGTTGTGCTTTCATCCCACGGACATCCATTTTCATAAGCATATTTTAAACATTCAAAATTGCCTTTAATGGCAGCAATTTTTGTTATGCTTTCATCCCACGGACATCTATTTTCATGTAAATATCTTAAATTTTGAAGATTACCATATTTTACAGTCATATAAGTTGTACTTATATTGCATGCATATCCATTTTCAAAGACATATTTAATAATATGACGACTACATGAAGAGCCAACTACATTAATTATGTCTTCATCGAATTCATATCCATTTACGTGAGCATATTTTAATATTTCGAGATTATCCCTATATATAGCATTTCTTGCAATACTAATTTGATTAAATTTACAGCCATTTTCATGAGCATATTTTAAGCATTCTAAATTACCATTATCTACCGCAGCTTCTGTTGTGTATTCATCCCATGAACATTCATTTTCATGTGCATATTTTAATATACATAAATTACCTATTATAGCAGCCGCAGTGGTTGTACGTTCATCCCATTTACAGCCATTTTCAAAAGCATATTTTAAGCATGCTAAATCTCCACTAGAAGCAGCTGCTTCTGTTGTACTTTCATCCCATGGACATTCATTTTTATGTGCATATTTTAACATTTTTAAATCACCTATTTTGGCAGCGGCAGTGGTTGTACGTTTATCCCATTTACAGCCATTTTCAAAAGCATATTTCAAGCATTCGAAATTACCACCAGAAGCAGCTGCTTCTGTTGTCCTTTCATTCCATGGACATTCCTTTTCATGTGCATATTTTAAAATACTTAAATCACCTATTTTGGCAGCTGCAGTGGTTGTACGTGTATTCCATTTACAGCCATTTTCAAAAGCATATTTTAAGCATTCTAAATTACCACTAGAAGCAGCTGCTTCTGTTGTCCTTTCATTCCATGGACATTTATTTTCATGTGCATATTTTAACATTTTTAAATCACCTATTTTGGCAGCCGCAGTTGTTGTACGACTATCCCATTTACAGCCATTTTCAAAAGCATATTTCAAGCATTCGAAATTACCACCAGAAGCAGCTGCTTCTGTTGTGCTTTCATCCCATGGACATTCATTTTTATGTGCATATTTTAACATTTTTAAATCACCTATTTTGGCAGCAGCAGTGGTTGTACGTTCATTCCATTTACAGCCATTTTCAAAAGCATATTTTAAGCATTTTAAATTACCACTAGAAGCAGCTGCTTCTGTTGTCCTTTCATTCCATGGACATTTATTTTCATGTGCATATTTTAACATTTTTAAATCACCTATTTTGGCAGCCGCAGTTGTTGTACGACTATCCCATTTACAGCCATTTTCAAAAGCATATTTCAAGCATTCGAAATTACCACCAGAAGCAGCTGCTTCTGTTGTGCTTTCATCCCATGGACATTCATTTTTATGTGCATATTTTAACATTTTTAAATCACCTATTTTGGCAGCAGCAGTGGTTGTACGTTCATCCCATTTACAGCCATTTTCAAATGTATATTTTAAGCATTCTAATTTACCACTAGAAGAAGCTGCTTCTGTTGTACTTTCATCCCATGGACATTCATTTTCATGTGCATATTTTAACATTTTTAAATCACCTATTTTGGCAGCGGCAGTGGTTGTACGTTTATCCCATTGACAGCCATTTTCAAAAGCATATTTCAAGCATTCGAAATTACCACCAGAAGCAGCTGCTTCTGTTGTCCTTTCATTCCATGGACATTCCTTTTCATGTGCATATTTTAAAATACTTAAATCACCTATTTTGGCAGCTGCAGTGGTTGTACGTGTATTCCATTTACAGCCATTTTCAAAAGCATATTTTAAGCATTCTAAATTACCACTAGAAGCAGCTGCTTCTGTTGTCCTTTCATTCCATGGACATTTATTTTCATGTGCATATTTTAACATTTTTAAATCACCTATTTTGGCAGCCGCAGTTGTTGTACGACTATCCCATTTACAGCCATTTTCAAATGTATATTTTAAGCATTCTAATTTACCACTAGAAGAAGCTGCTTCTGTTGTACTTTCATCCCATGGACATTCATTTTCATGTGCATATTTTAACATTTTTAAATCACCTATTTTGGCAGCGGCAGTGGTTGTACGTTCATCCCATTGACAGCCATTTTCAAAAGCATATTTCAAGCATTCGAAATTACCACCAGAAGCAGCTGCTTCTGTTGTCCTTTCATTCCATGGACATTCCTTTTCATGTGCATATTTTAAAATACTTAAATCTCCTCTTTTGGCAGCTGCTGTAGTTGTACGTGTATCCCATTGACAGCCATTTTCAAAAGCATATTTTAAGCATTCTAAATTACCACCAGAAGCAGCAGCTTCTGTTGTCCTTTCATTCCATGGACATTCCTTTTCATATGCATATTTTAAAATACTTAAATCTCCTCTTTTGGCAGCTGCTGTAGTTGTACGTTTATCCCATTTACAACCATTTTCAAAAGCATATTTCAAGCATTCGAAATTACCACCAGAAGCAGCTGCTTCTGTTGTCCTTTCATTCCATGGACATTCCTTTTCATGTGCATATTTTAAAATACTTAAATCACCTATTTTGGCAGCTGCAGTGGTTGTACGTGTATTCCATTTACAGCCATTTTCAAAAGCATATTTTAAGCATTTTAAATTACCACTAGAAGCAGCTGCTTCTGTTGTCCTTTCATTCCATGGACATTTATTTTCATGTGCATATTTTAACATTTTTAAATCACCTATTTTGGCAGCCGCAGTTGTTGTACGACTATCCCATTTACAGCCATTTTCAAAAGCATATTTCAAGCATTCGAAATTACCACCAGAAGCAGCTGCTTCTGTTGTGCTTTCATCCCATGGACATTCATTTTTATGTGCATATTTTAACATTTTTAAATCACCTATTTTGGCAGCAGCAGTGGTTGTACGTTCATCCCATTTACAGCCATTTTCAAAAGCATATTTTAAGCATTTTAAATTACCACTAGAAGCAGCTGCTTCTGTTGTGCTTTCATCCCATGGACATTCCTTTTCATGTGCATATTTTAAAATACTTAAATCTCCTCTTTTGGCAGCTGCAGTCGTTGTATGACTATCCCAGTGGCAGCCATTTTCATAAGCATATTTTAAGTATTCTAAATTACCACTAGAAGCAGCTGTTTCTGTTGTGCTTTCATCCCACGGATATTCATTTTTATGTGCATATTTGAACAATTCCAAGTTTTCATTTTCTGCAGCTTTTCTTGTACCTTCCTCATATTGGCATGTCTGTTCGTCATCCGAACTTTTATGATGAATTGCTAAATGAGCAAAAATATTAATCAACTTGTGTTGTATTAAAACTTTATATATATAACTTTAAAATATATCTAATTAAGGCGTAGACATATTAATTATAATTTATGTTTTTAGGGTTAGAAGTATGTTTTTTTTTTACTATTATATAATCATGCATTTTTTTCGACTAATTGTGTTGTTCTTTTTCTACGCCTTAATTCCAATTATTTGGGTTCGACCTTCCTTATCCTTAACTTCCACTTGACATGATCTCCCACATCATCTACGCTGTCATCAGCCGTCCTGATATCGCATTTAATAACATTTATCCATCTCTTTTTTAGTCCTCCTCTAATTCATTTTTGTAATATTTTTTTATATAATTTAATTAAATCCATACATCTCACCTACGCTTAGCAATAACATACCGACGCCGCTGAGGCGTTTAATCATTTAAATTTGTTTACGTGATCCTCGTCTGAATTCTTGTTAAAATAATTATTTAATCATTTATAATATATGCTCATGTAATATATTATTTTCCTTATTTAACATCTGATAAACCTAAGCTACTTTTTCTAAGACTAGTACACACTACACTTATCAAGTAATAACTAGAAACAAAGTACTTTTATTTATTATGTATTTACGAATGATGCCATTATCAATCTTCTTTATTAATACCATCCCCATCAATTTTATTTTTAGTTATTACATTTTCCTTCATCATTTAATTCCATAATTGTTCTTACAGCTTTTGATTCCTCTTTCCTCTATGTCTATTTTCTCTCATCTTATCCACAATTGACATTACACCTATACTCCATGTTATATGTTAGTTCATTATTCTATATTCTCTAGTCATAAAATTTGGCATATTATAGACTGGTAGTAGCACACACAAATAGAGTTAAAAAATTAATAAATTATAAAGTAAAATTATTTACTTTTGTAGTTGAATACTTTTATCATATCAAATCTAATTCGACAATAAATACTTTAAGAATATTACAAATTAATGATTTTAACTGTTTGTATGGAAAAATCTGGTTAAGCTACTTTTTATTTGAATAAGGAATATTTTTTTGATTTTTAAGAGTAATAACTTAAACTAATCATTAACTTAAATATCATAAACTTAAATGAATCATTTGACGTATCGTTGAAAAAAGTAGGTCTAGTGAGGGTTGGCAAAATAAATCGTAGCCACAAAAAGAACCACATTGTAAAATAATATTAGCAATGAAAGGAAATTATCTAAGGTTTCAATATAAATAAATATTATTTCGATTAGTTAATATTTGAAAAAGTTATGGGAGTTTTAAGTACAAAAAACATTCCGATAGAAGGTGATTTTTATCGCAAACATTTCATTTTTTTTTTAATTTAGACAGCCATTTGCACATAGAAGATAAGGTGTCGAAATAATATTTATTTATATTGAAACCTTAGATAATTTCCTTTCATTGCTAATATTATTTTACAATGTGGTTCTTTTTGTGGCTACGATTTATTTTGCCAACCCTCACTAGACCTACTTTTTTCAACGATACGTCAAATGATTCATTTAAGTTTATGATATTTAAGTTAATGATTAGTTTAAGTTATTACTCTTAAAAATCAAAAAAATATTCCTTATTCAAATAAAAAGTAGCTTAACTAGATTTGTCCATACAAACAATTAAAATCATTAATTTTTAATATTCTTAAATTATTTATTGTCGAATTAAATTTGATATGATAAAAGTATTCAACTACAAAAGTAAATAATTTTNTAATATTCTTAAAGTATTTATTGTCGAATTAGATTTGATATGATAAAAGTATTCAACTACAAAAGTAAATAATTTTACTTTATAATTTATTAATTTTTTAACTCTATTTGTGTGTGCTACTACCAGTCTATAATATGCCAAATTTTTTTGTAATATGTTGCTATATAAATCATAAATTAAAAAAAAAATGATTTTTAGTTTCACCTGAATTTAACGATGGATTTTAACAATTATAATTATATTTTATAATACGCTCAATTGAGTAAATCTTTTTAACAACTTTGTTTTGTTTGGTTCATTTAGTTAAAGTAAATCATTAAAATTAATTAAGTTCTAAATATTTCCATTGTAGAATCTTTTTAAACACCAAAAGTTATTAGGAAATGATAATATTATTTCTATTTCAGTTATCTATTACAATAAAAATGTAAAAAAATCGAATTTTTCTGATAAATGTACTGTCAAAAGTAATTATAAAATTTCCTGATTGCATATTAATCTTAACAATTTCATTTTTTTCTATTTAATAATATCAATTTCAAACTTGTAATTTGAGCTAAAAGTTATGGTAATTAATTCATTTTTTTTTTATTAAAACTTTCACTTTAAAGGACAAAAAAAGTAGGTTCAAAATGATTACTTTTAACATATTAAAAATCAAAATTAATAATAATTTGAAAACAATTCAATATAAAAATTATATAATATATAATTAAAAGAATTACTAATCTGGGTATAATTAAGGAAATAGAAGTTGATGTTGCATGTAATTTTTTTATCCATCATTTTTTTAGAATTAAACACTATCTACAGCTTTGCATCGAAGCGTTTCTTATGATAGTGATTTTAATCACTGTCAGATTAAATCTATACTGGAACCAAATATGCAAAGTCCCCACTATGCCGCGACCCCACTGTGCTGGGTTTTTTAAATTATTGTCGTTTACCATATCATTAAAATAACAAAAATGAAATTCCCATCAAAGAAAATATAAGTTTTTTAATCTTAAATGGATTACAAAAAAATTAATTTTACTACATATTATTGATTTTTTTGTAGCAATCATCCTTTACCTTTACGAAAATTCAATTTAAATTAATTAATTTTTTTTCAATAGTTTCCAAAAAATCGAATATCTTAACTTTAATTGGTCACTCTGTATAACTAGGAGGGTAGCTTCATAGCTATTATTAATCAAATCCTGTATGAATCACTTTAAATAAATATACATAAACTATAATAGATAGTTAGTAAATTTAATAAAAGTAAATAATGTAAAATAAAATTTACCTTCGTTAAATATCAAACACAATATTATCAATAGAACAGATATAATTTGCCAATTCTACAATAAAATAAAATAATCTTTTAGATTTTAATCAAGCACTTTAGGTAAAGTATATTACTCACCTTCATTTTTATTTTAAGTGTTAAATTCTGAATAACTAATGACACTTCCTTGGTTACAATGGTTTATGTATATACGATCACCCTCATAATTCATTTATTTTTAAATTAAAAAATAGTATTTATAGTAAATATTAAAGTATACCCATAAAAATGTATTATTTTTAGTAAACTATTCTACACAAGTTGAAAAAAATAGCAAAATTTGTATTGACAGAACACTTTCTTGATTTAACAATAAAAGACTCTTAATAAATACAATTTTATAATTATATTTTATCATGTTAAAATAAACTGCGCTTTAGGGTCTATTAATAATAAAAAATACTTATAATTTTAATAAAAATAAAAATTCTTAATACTCTCAAACAATATATTCTCATTGCCGTATGATTTTATTATAATTTATATTATACTTTTTTTTTATACAATGCATTTTCGTAATCAAAAACCACATAATTTGTATCAGTATAAAATCAAAGGTGATACTCAATGGCGCAACCAGACAATAATTTCAAGAGGTTATTAGCTTGTTTTTTTTTATCATTATTGCTAGGAGTCTGTTTAATATTTGGGGATCTTGATCAAAACCAAGAATCGGAATCTACCCTACGTATGCCCAAATATTGTCTTTATCTTTTTAAATGAGTTTTAAAATTGCCTGAAGGATATAAAAACTCAAGCACACTACCCTTTATTAGTTTAACGTTAGTAGATTCGGGCTACAGACAAGTAGAATTGTTACATCAGCATCTCCGACTATGCTAATTAATATGTATTACGAATTAAGTAAACGAAAATACAAAGACTATAATTTAAGTAGTAAGAACATAGTAATAAATGTTATTATTTATAAAATATTAGGAAAAATTAAATAAGCAAAAAAAGTAAGCTTTCCATGACTAAAAAATTTAAACATTGCTAATAATTTTGGTGGAGTTAACCTCCTAACTTTCACTGTTTGCATCACTAGTAATACTCGATAAATTACTGATCGAGTGATAAAATTAATGATTGATAAACAAAAATGATAAGTTTGTAATATTATATTATTACTTATAATATTATGTTATCATTTATACATGTATGTCACATATTATGATTATACAAGATCACCAAAACAGGGTTCTCTTATTTAAAATACAAAATAACCAGTTAATTATGGGATAATATCTACTTATTGTAGAGATTATTAAGTAACGCCTACACGCAGGGCCCTCATTATAATTAACCAATTAGAATAGAAAGCCTCAGCTTTCAGGATCATGGTAGGGATCGCTGGGCTAACCCTTTTTTTTTTTCATAGTCGACATGGTGTGGACGCCCTGGAACTACCGTGAGGTATTGCTTCAGGGCGCCCAACGTCGCATTAAAACTCACAACACGACGTGGCCTCCCCGTTAGCAGGACCCCAGAGTGGGATCCGTTGTCCAGGCCGCACCACGTGGAGGTGGGGGTAGGACTTTGCTATGGGCTGGCATAAAAATTCACACAAATAGTGAGGAGGACAGGAGATACCTTATGAAGGCTTCTCCGGCCCTCCCACCTTCTTGGGACAGTCCCTTGCCCGGTGGCCCTCCGCTTTGCACATGAAGCACGCGCCGGTCCGGTCCGGACCGCTACAGGTCGTTTGCACGTGACCCCTTTCGAGGAACCTGTAGCAGTGCAAACCCTTGTCCTTTGGGACCCGGATCCGACACATGCCCCACCCTACATGGAGTCGTGTCAGCCCGACTAATGGTTGCGAAGCCCTAATGAGCACCTTGCACCTCGCGAAGCGGCCCTTGCCGCTCCTGTGTAGCCGGACTGACACCGAACCGACGGGTGCCGTCACTCCCTCTTTCGGGCTAACCCTTCAGACTATAAAAAAAAAGAAAAAGCCATTTATCCCCGTCTAAACCAGTTCTTTCGGCGATTTTAAAATACACGAAATCTACGACAATCTACTCAAGATTTCACTGTCCGGGACTTGGTCGTTTTTTTAATTAATTTGGATTTATAATAAATCCAACCTAACTTAAGATTTTTATTTAATAATAAAAATTTATTATGAGCTTTTCTTATTGGGTAGCTAGTCTCGTCGCTAATGTCTTTGTTTTAACATCGCGCCGGCAGACAACGCAGAGAAACTTACGAATATATTTGCAGTGTATAATTTTTATCTTTGTGATTATTGTGCCGCATCTTTTCAAGGCGTTTTATTTTAGCACCGGGACACATTGGGCCACCACAATTCCATCTTGATAAATTTTTTACATAGATATAAATATTTCTGAGTCTTGTTTTGGCCAGACCAGAGGAAAATTTAAGAAATATTTGATGTCGATCTCTCAATAAAATATACTCTCTCAAAAAAAAATACTTATTCAACAGACGCAAAAAAATTAATAATTATAGATTATAAATTATTTATAATAAAATATTGAGTGTTTAGAATCTTTTACAAGTAAGATTAGTCATAGACTTTGTGTAATTAAATCATATTATTTAAAATCTTGAATCGTTTTTGTAAGTAATTATATGGACTATATGACGTATAGCGTAAATCGTATACGTAGTACAATTTAACCTATGCTTTCGAATCTCCAATAATCTATTGCGTAATAAACTATTAATAATTAATAAGAGAAACAATTAATGAGAAAATGAAAATTATTTAATAAAAATTAAAGATATTAAATTAATAAAAAAAAAATCGTATAACTAATAATTAAATATATAACTATTTTTATATTCTTGTCTTTTCATTCTACTATTATTTTTGGTTAATTACAAGTTGTAACGGATTATACAGGGTGATTTTTTTATCATAACCCACTTAATTACTTGCAGAATAATAATAATTTAAACATTTTTTTTTTTCATTATCTTTAGTTACACATTATTCTTGAATTTTTAACTATGTATTACATTTTAAGTTCATCCCTTATGCCTTGGAAGGGGGTCAACTTTGTTTTTTTAAATGGTAACACATATTTTTAAATTAATAAAATGTTTGAGTTTTTAATTTAATAGTAAATGGCATTTGAATTTTTAATATAACTTAATTCGTTTATTAGATATAATCATTTAAAGTTTCAAATTTTTGAATTAATATACAGGTATAATACACAAGGGATTACAAATATAGGTAGCTAATTGGTTTTTTATAACATCGATATTAGCAGGTACACAGCATTGTTATTATCATTTGTAGTAAGACACATTGTTATGAGTATATAAATACACTAACTGACAATATAGAAATTATATCTATTGATAATAAACAATCCGTGACTGAGACAGCAATGTCATAAAAATCCAATTAGCTGCTTGTATTTACAATCCCATGTGTATTATACATGTATATTAACTCAATAATTTGAAACTTTAAATGATTATATCNTCAAAAATTTGAAACTTTAAATGATTATATCTAATAAACGAATTAAGTTATATTAAAAATTCAAATTCCATTTACTATTAAATTAAAAACTNAATAAAGTTATATTAAAAATTCAAATGCCATTTACTATTAAATTAAAAACTCAAACATTTTATTAAATTAAAAATATGTGTTACCATTTAAAAAAACAAAGTTGACCCCCCTCCAAGGCATAAGGGATGAACTTAAAAAGTATTACATAGTTAAAAATTCAAGAATAATGTGTAACTAAAGATAATAATGAAAAAAAATGTTTAAATTATTATTATTCTGCAAGTAATTGAGTGGGTTATGATAAAAAAATCACCCTGTATTTTAATAAATTTTATTAATCTTCTAGTCTTAATTATATCAGTACAGTCATTTGTTTATTTATATTATTTTACTAATTTATTTTATTATATTAAAGCCCAACAATAAAAATAAATAAACATTTTAAATGATTAAAGGTATATTATTTAATTTTTAAACTTAATTATTTATTGCAAACATTATACTCGGTGGTGTTTAGGTAAAAAACTGTTTTTTTATTTTAGGGTTTATGCTAATTTGTGAGCGTATACCCTTCAATATAAATAATACAGAAGTATTATTTTTCTAGGGCATACGTTAATTTTAAAAAAATTATAGCATAGAAAGGTAATTGTGCTGAGGTCGTAGCATAGTTGGAACCAGTAAAAAATGTATATATTTTGCCAAAAGCAACATCAACACCTACTTTCTTAATTATATTCTGATTAAGATGTCAATTTCATGCATTATATAAAATGATTTCAAGTGTGAAAAAAATATTCAGAAAAACATCAAGTCGTTTACTTTTATTTAAAGCGGAAGCTCCAAATCTACTCTTACCACCACCAGAGCCAATTATAACTCTTTGGGAAAGTTTGATTAACGCGGCAATTTATTATGGTGAGAATTTTAAGATAATGTACAGTATTGTTTTCATGTTGGACAAAAACGATGCTGTTAGTATTTAAGACGCCCAAGATTTCATCATAAAACCTAGATTATAAAATAACTTGACGTATATTAAGTCAAAATTTGCTACCTTAACCTTAGCTATTGCAAAATTACAACAGTATCATGTACCATTATCGGAATCAATCAAAATTGTTAAGGATATCTAAAAATCGTTGGAAAATCTAAGTGATCCAAAAAGAAACGCTATTCAAAATAAGTTCAATAAAATAATGGAAAAAATTTTGGTCTCGGGGCATTAATAAAAATATCAAAAGATCTAACTGGTGAATAAACATCAGAAAATTTATCTGGTCTTCCTGAAGATTTAAGTTGTAACGCCATAGCATTTTTTAAATACGCATCCGTGACGTCTGTCGATGTTGAGTGATCATTCTCAACATATAAAACTCTATTGTCAAATAACCGTAGATCATGCAAATATGAAAATATAAGAAAACATATTATTCAGTGTAATTCTTTAGTTAAATAATATAAATTCATTTAAAATTAATACATTACAACATCAATAATATATATACAGAGTGGAACAAATTGAACTGACACTCATATAACTTATGATCTACATTACATTTTATACTAAATGTTATCAATTTTTACAATATAATTTCTTTACATAACGTTTTTATAATTTTTTTTAATAACTTAATTTTACTACTACTTTTTTTTTCATGTCAATTACAAATGATTATTTAAGTGTTAATAATATTTATGGAAAAGAAATC